CGAATGATACACATTTCCTCTGCCTTCAGGGCAAAATCTATAGGGGTGGGTTCATTTGAATAAAAAACTAAGCAAAAGGACAAGAGGAGGGGAGGTACAAAATGCTGAAGGACACCTTCAGTAATCAAAAAACGGAACTAAGGACTGACTCATATTTTTTCTTTTTCTGCATTTTTTATTGGTGCATTATAAATTGTACATAATGGTGGGATCAATTGTTAGGTATTTGTACATGTGCACAATATAATTTGGCCAATATCACTCCCCAGCACTTGTTCCCTCTGTCTCTCCCCTCCTCCTACCTCTAGGTCACCTTTCTCTATTGTTCTTTCTTTGAATTTCATGACACTCCTCCCCACCTTTCTCTTCCTTTTTCCTCTCTAGTTTCTACATAACAGAGAAAAAATGTGACCCTTGACCTACGTTTGGCTTATTTCACTAACAAATTCCATCCATTTTCCTGCAAATGACATAATTTCATTCTGCTTTCTGGCTGAATAAAACTCCATTGTGTATGTATACCACATTTTCATTATCCATTCATGTGCTGATGGACATCTAAGCTGGTTGGACAGTTTGGCTATTGTGAATTGTGCTGCTATACACAGGGATATGCATGTATCACTATAGTATGATGACTAATTCTTTCGGATAAACACTGAGAGTGGCATAAGGCAGTCCTATGGTCAGACTGGTTCCATGCCTAGTTTTTTGAGGAAACTCCACACTGATTTCCATAGTGGCTGTAGTAATTTACAATCCCACCAACAGTGTAGTGTTCCTTTTACTCCACATCCTCTCTAGAATGTATTGTTGTTTGTGTTCTTGATGTCTGCCATTCTGACTGCTATGAAATGAAGTCACAGTGTAGTTTTAATTTACATTTCCCTAATTGCTAACGATGTTGAACAGTTTTTCATATATCTGTTGGCCATTTGTATTTCTTCTTTTGAGAAATGTGTCTGTTTGATTCATTTGCCCATTTATTAATTTGAGTCTTTTTTTTTGGTGTTAAGTTTTCAGTCCTTTATATATTCTGGATATTAATCTTCTGTCAGAAGAGTAGCTAGCAAAGATTTTCTCCCATTCTGTAAGTTCTCTTTTCATATTCTTATTTACTAAGCTGGTAGAATCTTTTTTAATCTGATGTCATTCCATGTATTAACTCTTGGCATCATTTCCTGAGCTTTAGGGGTCCTACTGAGGAAGTCATTGCCTGTGCCTATATGCTGGAGTGTTGACCCTATGCTTTCTTCTAGGAGTTGCATAGTTTCTGGTCTGATTCCAAGGCCTTTGATCCATTTTGAGTTGATTTTTGTTCAGAATGAAAGATAAGGGTCTCTGACTCATGTTTTTTTAATGTTCAGAAAAATTATAATGGCAGAAGTAGTTTATGAGTTCAGCCTTGAAAGAGTTAGGTTTTTCAGAAAGAGAGAGAGAGAGTGAGCTTTCTAGGCAACAGAAATGCATGGACAAAGGCAAAATGTTTGGGGAATGAAGTTCAGACTGTACTGACACAAGACTGAGAGAATGATGAAGTGAAGGCTGATGCTGAGCCTAGGATGCCAGATCCTGACTTTGGGCCAAGGAGTCCACTTAACGGGTACAGAAAAGCACTAAGGGTTTGAGTCTCAGCTCCAACGTTTATTGGTTGACAAGTGAACATAAGCTTAACTTTCCCTAGCCTCATCTGGAGACTAAGGGTCTAGTAGCACCTTCTTTGATGTCACTCTCAAGACTGAATGTAGTAATACAAATTCACATTTAGGCTAGCATCTAGCACATGAAAGTTCAGCGGCCGTTGCTGTTATTATGAACTATATAAGCCACCCAATAATTTTTTAATAATATTTTAGTACTTAAGGAATTTATCTGATCATGCATGCCATGAAGGAGAGAAAGGTAGGAAAAATCCTACTGTAGGCAACGTCAGAGCAGAGCAAAGTCCCTAAGAGGCAGAACTAAGATACAGATAGGGTAGAAAAGGAGCCATGTGCAAGACACTGACCTGAATGTGATCTCAATAGTAGTAACTGGAAAGTCTAGAAAGAAGTTTCCAGACAGGGCCAGAAAGCTGACAAATAAGTAGATGCAGATAGGAAAGAAATTTGCAGGGAACAAAAACAACTGACAATTAAGGCTCTTAAGAACTTCCATCTTCCTTAGTGTCTCACACCCCCCCTTCACCTTCCATGGGCATTCTATGCCAGCCCTCCCTGGAGCACTCCGGAAATGGAAATGACAAATCAGAAACCACAGTACTGCTGAGAAGCACATTATAAATAAAAATGGATTATCCAGACCTTGGTACAAGGAAAAACATTGTACTAACCCCCAAAGTTGGAATGAAGTAGAAGGAAAAGGGATCTCTACTTCCTTCCCCGTACCCTCTTTTGCCATTAGCCCTTTGGGTGGTAACCATGACACTCTTTCCCAACTTCTCCACACCCTCAGTTTCAACATAAGAGCAGAAAACACTAAAATGCTTCTATTTTACTAAAAGGCTGCTACAGAATTAATGGTCTCTAACTGTTCTCCATATGGGAAATGAGAGACTAGCTGGCTTTCCAATACTTCCCCTAAAGGGTAAAAAGCACCACTGTTCAGAATTCATTTACCACAGTGGGTAAAAGCAATCTGATTTCTCTTTAGATTAGGTGAAAGGAGGATTTCCTTTCCTTCCTATTAAAAGCCTCCAATCTACCAGGCCCACAAACCATACACTTAACCACAAAAACCAATGGCAGTAAGAATCTCAACAACTCAGAAAACAGTACACCTAGACATTTGATATTGCCACCAGAAAGTTTACAGCCCAACTTCAGACAGCTTTAATACAATTTATCACTGGGCTCTATGAGTATGAGTTAACATCCAATTAAACAGTAGGACAAGAGACATAATAATTTAGTGGAAAGAGCTAAGGGATTAGAGTCCAAAAAACTAATAAAATCTAGCTCAGCAATTTAGTATTGACCTTGGGCAAATTCCTGAACCTAGCTTCAATTTCTTCACCTAAAAAACAGAGATAATATCACAACACTGTCTATGAAGATGATGATTAAATGTGATAATATAGCCTATGGCAGCCGGGTAGTATCTGGCCTACAACATAACTATTAGTTATTATTGAAAATATAGCTCAAAGATAAAAGAACAAATATTTTGGCTGACAATAGCTTTTGTTACAAATAAAGCTAAATGCCATAAATAAATAAATAGCTAAATGCCTATTGACTGTAATGGTGGAAACCATATTTTAGTTTTCTTGGAAGTGGCCCAGCACAACAAAGAGAAAATAAATAGGCTAGAATCCTGGTTCTGCCTGGATGATTTTGGGAAAATTGGTTAACTTGATGAAGCCTTAATTTTCCATCTGGTTCAAAATATACTACTATGAATCCTGCTGATTGTAAATAAAATCATATAGTACTAATTACATTAATAATAGTAATAATAATAGAGGAGAGTTCAGTAATGTAGAGCAAGTAGATCAGGGGAGGGAGGAGGAGAAGAAAAGGGAAGGTATTGGGAAATGAGGATCAAAACATGTTAAATGCATATATGAATATGGCATGGGACTCACTATTATGTGTGATTGTAATGCATCAATAAAAAATACCTAGCTAATAAGACTACTGTAATGTTTAATGAGATAATCTACACAAAGTTCCTAGCATATGAATCTTGGAAGTTAGCTACTATTGCTCTTCAATAGTAGTTACTGCTATTTGTTAATTTTCCCAACAGAAAAAAAAGAGAATCACCATCAGCTAAGAAATCACCTTTTCTCATATTTACAGAGAAATTTTCACTTATTCATTCCATAAAAATGTACTGGAAACCCGTGTGTCAGGCAGTGTTCTTGACATTGAGGATTAAGTAATGAACAAGACTGACAAGGTCTCTGCTTTCCTGGAACTTACATTCTCAAAAGGGAAGGCAGTAAACAAACCAAGATCATTTCGGTGAGAGAGAGAGAGAGAGAGAGAGAGAGAGAGAAGGAATAGCAAACAGGGTGGCTTGGAGTTGGTGGAGGAGAAGGTCATTTAGCCTGGATGCACTGCAGCCCAGGCCTACCTGGCTAGTCTACTTTGGTCAGAAGGGGGACCTCAACTTGTATGATGCTTGAGGGTGGACTGTGGATGATCAGATAGATATTGGACCTGTGCTTTTTTTCTGCTGCTAAAAGTATATCTTTAGCAGCTATAATTTAAAATATAGTATTTTTAAACGGCCCCATCCCAGTAATCAAAACCTGCGGGGTTAATGCAACATCTATGGAGACTCCAACGCCTCAGCATAGTTCCCAGGCACATGGGAAGTGACAACTTCACAACCCTTTCAGCTAAGTGAGTCTAGGAAGGGCGCCTGGCTTAAGAACTATTTGGGCGATGCATGGCAGTGTCATCAGCGACTCCAGAGGCGACAAAAGCTCCCCGAGGCACCTTTAAGTCCGAAGGGACCAGTGCCGTTGGTCCCCAACCTAGGCACTGGGGAGCGGAGCAAGCCGAGGTGGAAAGGCGGTGGGGCGTCGCCGGGGTCTGCCGGCCGCGAGCCAACTCGCGGATGTGGTAAAGCCTCGCGACTGGCCCAATTAAACAGGTTTCCTGTGCCTCTAGCTCCGGAGCGGCGCCTGGCCCTTCCCCGGGACAGCTTCTCTGCGCCGCATCCTCCAGCAAGTACACGCAGTCCCCTGCGCTCAGCTCCTTCTCACCGTCAATCACACAGAAGCTGTCCCTTGAGGGACAGAACACTAAGAGGACAGCACCTGGGTCCGTCCCCCCAGGGGGGGGGGGGGGGGCTACAGCCGACACCAAGAACGATCTCCCTGTCTCAGGTGTGTCCCACTGGATGGCTCTTACCCAGACAACAGGAAACACACTGCGGTCCTCTGGGACTGGCAGCGACCCCGAAATTGCAACGGTTCTTGTACCCGCCGCCGTCGCCGGACCCCCACCACCCTCCAGCTCCATTCAAGCAGATTCCCCACCGCTTACCTGCGCGCTCTGCCGCAGGGAACACCGCCTAGTCCCCCGGTGCCCCGCTCCAGGGTTTGCTCACAGACCAGGAAGGAGGCAAACCCAGCTCCTCAAGTCGCCCTGCAAAAAGCAGCTGACAGTTGCCGCATCAGCCTAGGAGACTCGGGCGCCGACCGCCACTGAGGACTGATAGCAGGACCAAGAGCCTAGCTGCGCACTGGCCGTCTGGCGCTGAGGTCCCTTTTCCGGGGAGGTTCGCTGGCAATGAGAATGCGCTACCAGTTCCCAGTACTTTGCCCAGAACTTCTAGCGCGCAGCCTGGCGATTAGTCTGAGCAGCCAGCGAGAGGCGGGAGCAAAGAGGAGGGGCCTGCGGGCAGCCCTGGGGGCGGGGCCAAGTGGGGAGGGTAGGGGACGACGGAATAACCCCCACTACAACCAATCAGGAGTCACCCCGGGAAACGAGGTGGGGCAATGCCCTGGGAAGAAGCGGGCGAATTTCGTGACGCGTAGAGGGAGTTGGGGACCTGGACAAGTAGAAAGGGCGGAGAGCGTTGAAAGCTTTAGAGGGGCGGGGCGGGGGCTCTCGCCCGCCCAGCTTGGTGCCTGCGCGTCGTAGGCGTTGTACAAATGTTGGTCGAATGTCGTTTCCGGGCAATGAAAAGAGAGAGGAATGAGGCCGATGTGGAGGCACTGGTAAAGAAGATTCCAGGGGACGTTGGAGGTCAAACACCTGATCACTTAAAGTCAGACTGAGGCAGGGAGCCAAGAATGGAAAAAAAAATACGTGATGAGAGGAGGACGGTAGGTACCGGGTGTCAAAGGACAGAATTGGTGTGGGACACTGGGCTCAGAGACTATAACCCTGCCTACAGAGGCAGTCATGCAGATTCGAACCTAGGTGCCTGGAGAGGCTTGAGGAGAGAGTGGTCGTTTGGTTGGGGGGGGGGGGGGGGGGTGCGTTACGGTTGCAATTTGAAATGCAGGAGCTTCTTGATTGACCGGGAAGTCCATCCGATTTAACTGCTCCACAGCCTCCTTTGATCCCAGCTCGAATGCAAGCAACTGATAATTTGGGGTCAGTTTGCAGACTGCAAACGCGTCAGGTGCCGCAGGTGGCGGGGTTGTCAAGGAAAATGCACTTACTGAGCGCCTGCTATGTGCTAGGAGCAGTGGTGGCCCTGCACCTGTGATAAAAGGCACACCAGGCTTCCTCCCTCAGGGAGCTTACATTTTAGTGCGAAGGCAGACAATGAACAAGAGACTATGCATATATTAAAAAACAAGAAAATGCTGATGAACTATTAGCACTGGGATGAAGGCCATGTAGAGCTTTCAAAAGTGGTGATCTGTATGATGGTAGCTTTCATGCAGATTCTTGAGGTAGGAAAAGAATCTACGGCGTCCAGTCTTTGGAAGAGCATCCCAGGTACAGGGTACCTCAAGTGCAAGGTATTTAACCTTACCATGGACCTATCCGGCCTCCTTCACAGAGCTGAGCAATGCCTGTGGCTCGCTAGGCTGGGCTCTTGACAAGTTCCAGAATACTCAGTTTCCAATCTCCACCAGCACATTTCCAGTCCCCAGACTGACCCCAAAGTAAGGTTCTGAGGCTCTTCCTGCAGCTATGCTATCTGCACTTTATTCGTCATGCTCGGTTCTCCGCTTTCTGGAACCTTCGCCGTCGCGTAATGTCTGGGACTGTCTGGCCCTCTGGCAAGCGGTCTAGCACAGGGGAATCCCGAGATGTTGAGATGTTGCAGAACGGTCATGCTGCCCGCGTTGGCACACGAAGAATTAATTACGTTGGAGAAATTTTCAAATTGAATGACTCGGAAGTATCTAAAGCACTCCCCAACACCTGAGGAACACAGGTCGAAGAACGTATCTGGCTGGCATGTGAACCATTCATGCTGAATTCAAGGAGGCACGTTGCCCACCCCAGCTGCTCACATTGTGTTTTGCCAACCTTCCTTTTCTTTTCCAATAACACTTCTTTTAGAAACTCGCTCAGTCCCAGTTCCCGCCCTCTTCCTCAGTCAAGCTATTTCCTTTTGCTTTTTCTTTTCCTCTCTTCACATCCACCTCCCCCATCAGCATTTCTTTTTTTTTTTCTTTTTCTTTTTTTGCAGGAGACAAACCTTATGCCTAAAAGGAATTTATTTGTAGGACCTTGTTTAAACTAGCAGCCTGTTCTTGGCTTTTTCTTCAGTTTCTTTCAAATGGCGTGTGTGTGTGTGTGTGTGTGTGTGTGTGTGTGTGTTTCCCCCATTGGTACTTATGACAGTTAATTGGACAGGATGCAAGAGTTATTCAGGTTGTGTCTTGCCTCCAAGAAAAAAAAGGGACCTTACTGTGTCTTTTCATAATTTCATTTCTTCTTCTACTCCTAAATAAGCTTCTAGGCTCTTCAGCTCCTACAATCAAAAGGGGGAAAAAATTAAAGTTGAAACCCACGTAGAGCTAATTATTCTTGAAAAAGCTTGTTAATGTCCTAAAATTAGCTTTCTCCTCAGTCTCATTTTAAAGCAATGATCTGAATATCTACTAAAGATCAATGGTTGCATAGTAAGAGTTCTTAGAGTCCCTTCTTCTTTGAACTATTGGACAAATACTGTTTATCTTTGGAGACATTCCCACCATGGTGGGAATTTTTCACAGTTGGCTGAGCATTTTTAGCATCTGAAATCTCAAAATAGGTGAGCAGGTGTTGCTTGAGTTTCTGTGTTTTGATAGTAAAGGAAACTGATCATAATGGAGTGTAGGCCTCTAGAATCGGCCTACCTGGGATCCTATCTTTACATCATCACTATTTCCTGATTCTGAAATTACCTTTTCTACTCGTACAGTAGAGACCGTAATTGTACCTACTGGTCTACAGAGTTTGATCATCTGTCTAAAACAATTGCCACATAGCCTAGCACAGAGTTCTCAATTCAGCACTACTGACATTTTAGGCCAGATGTTTCTTTGATGTGTGATTGGCTGTCCTGTGCATTTAACCACCTCCCTGCCTCCACCCATTACTTGGAAGGAAAACCCTCTTCTCTCCAATTGTAACAACCAAAAGTCTCCAGATTTTACCAGATGTTCTCTGGCTGAGAATGTGGCACCTAGCAAAACCCACAGATTGGGAGGCAGTATAAGCAATTGCTTAAGGCTGTGGGTTTCTGGAGTATGAACTTCTGGCAAATTGTGCTGGCTCTCCTACAGTCTTAAGCGGTCCTCTTTTTGCCATGTCTGGAGCAGTGATGCCACCTCTCCCCATGCTGTACACTCCTACTCATCTCCCTCCTTCACTGTATCTAGAAAAATGAATCAAAGCATTTCATTGCACAGGAATACCTTGGAAGCAGTCTTCCAAAAGTGTTAGTAAGCTCACGACAAGAACTGCACAAGAACTCATCAATTCCTTGATTAAATATAGATTGACTACCACCTTTGTATAAGCAACCATTCTTAGCAGGCACGTCAAGAGATCAAAAGGTGAATCAGTGGGTGTTCCTGCCCTCGTTGCTTTTATAGTTTCATCTTTGGGACAGATCAAACATGGATATAAATAACTATAATACAAGTTTTTTAAAAATGGAAAATGTCCTAAGAAAGGTACCAAAAATGTGTTCAGAGAAGGGAGAAATTATTTTGAGAACTAGGAACCAAGAGTCACTTCCTCCGTGTCTTTGTTGACATTTTTAACTTTTGATCAAAAATTCATATTTATTACAGTAAAGTTGTCCTTGTTGAGGAAGTTGCCACATTGTTAGGTTTCCTGGTTCACAACCACTATCAGTGAACCTACAGGTCACAGTTCATTCTAATTCTAAATGAGTCATTTTTGTCAATGTTTAAAATTGCTGGGATGTTCTAGATTGCTTTAGAAACAATAGGATAGCTTTCACCAAACCATTAGACAGAACCAGTTTTTTAAGCATGTTGTACTACAGTAGCATACTTGTAAAAACAAACAGCACAGGCAGAGGAATATCATGTCACATACATTAAACCATGAGATAGCATTTTCTTCAGGACCAAACTACCTTAAGAGTCAGGCTAACACTTAATTATCTTTAAGTACTAACTCTAAAGCACATGCACATTCTATACTATTACCTGCTATAAATACTAAGTATAATAAGAGCCCACATGTAGAAAGCTAGGCCACTGTCAAGTTAGGCTGCTGAGATTGCTATTGCTATCAGGAGTCTGCCTGTAAAATCAGAAAGATTTGGTAGAACTGAACACCCCTCTGTTACAAGCCACACCAGCAAAATATACACCCCGAAGCCTCTTGCTCTCCCTTATTACCTCATTTCCAAATTCATGTTTTGCACGAATGCCTCTGATTGGTGTGCTCCAAACCACATCTGCAAATCTATCTGCAAGGAAGGCTAGGAAATGCTCTTTTTATCTTCCCAGCCCTTGTGGTATGTGAAGACACATTAGAGGGAAGTTGGATTAGAAGTTGAGTGAGCCAAGCCACAGCACCCACTGTGTCTTTTCCTCCAAGTCTTCAACAAATACGCTGGCAGAAAAAGGTTATATATTTTACATCTGCTGTTTTACTCAGCTTTTTCCCTGCTGTGACTAAAGGACATGACCAGAACAACTGTAGAGGAGGAAAAGTTTATTTGGGGGCTCAAGACTTCAGAGATCTCAGTCCGTAGACAGCTGGCTCCATTCCTCAGGGCTCAAGGTGAAGCAGGACATCATGGTGGAAGAGTGTGGCAGAGGGAAGCAGCTCACATAATAATCAGGAAGGAGGGGGCGGGGAGAGAGAGAGAAGAAAGAGAGATCTCCACTTACCAGATACAAATATATACCTCAAAGCCACACCATGCTCCCTGCCTCACCTCCTCCAGCCACCCCCAACCTGCCTTCAGTTACCACTCAATCCCATCAAGTGATTAATTCACTGATTTGGTTAAGGCTCTCATAACCCAATCATTTCTCTTCCAAACTTTCTTGCATTGTCTCACACATGAGCTTTTGGGGGATACCTCACCAAACCATAACATCCACTTTAGTGTGTTTCAATTTGTAGAGATTAACTCAGAAGACCTAGTTCTTCATGAATCCCTCCAAGTTCCCATCTCTCACCCACAAGAGCTACCATGCTGATCCAACCACCATTTCTTGCCTGGAAAACTGTAAAAGACCAGGAATTACTTTTGCCCTTCTATAAGCCATTCTGTACTCTGAAGTCAAGTGATTTTTTTAAAAACCTGATTCTGATAATGAAACCTTTCACAGTTTCTCATTGCTCATAAGATATAGACAAGACTATTGACATGGTTCTCAAGATTCTACAA